GTGTGACAGGATCGGGGCTCGGTGTGTGACCAAGGTCAGTGTGTGACCAGGATCGGGGCTCGGTGTGTGACCAAGGTCAGTGTGTGACAGGATCAGGGCTCGGTGTGTGACCAAGGTCAGTGTGTGACCAGGATCGGGGCTCGGTGTGTGACCAAGGTCAGTGTGTGACAGGATCAGGGCTCAGTGTGTGACCAAGGTCAGTGTGTGACAGAAATAGGGCTCAGTGTGTGACCAGGATCAGGGTTCAGCTGATCAAGGTCAGTGGTCAATGAGCCCAATGTTGGGGTCAGGGTCACAGCTGAGCATCTGAGGGATCAGTTTGTGGCCTGGAGAACACGTGCCATGGGTCACAGTCCCTCTGGGCTGCATGAAGAGGTTCTAGGGCCTGGTGTCCAGCTGGGTGTGGTCCCCAGCAGGGACTGTCAATTCCAGCCTCCTGGTGCTGGGCCCACCCTGAGTTCTTCAGGCTGTGGACGGGCCCCCAAAAGGAAGCTGATCTGGGCGTGAGATGGTGCCCTGGGAGGGTCGGGTGAGTGGGTGAGGGGAACAAGCTCAGGGTGTACACTGAGGCAAGGCTCCCGAAAGTCAGTGGCCAGTTTAGAGTTCTAGAACCTCAGAGTGTCTGGGCTGGAAGGCACCTTCAAAGCCATTCAGACACAGGGTGACAGGGCTGCCGCAGGGTGAGCGGAGCTGCTTCAGGCTGGACTGAGAGGATGACTTTTTAAAAGGGGTGAATCAGGGAGGGAAGCAGAGAAAGCCCCATGCAGCGAGAGGAACGGCCCTGCAGAGAAGCTGGGCCTAGAGGACAGCCCGCCTCGCCCTCGAAGGATGCGGCTGTGTCGGAGAGGGCCCCAGCATTGCCCTGAGAACCTGGGCTGGATTCCCCAGTGAAGGCACTGGGGTCGCTGCCACCCTCCGGGCTCCAAGGAGGGAGGCTGAGTCCTGACTCAGAGCTGCCGGCCTCCTGGCCTGACATCAGCCGCCCCCTGGTGGCCATGACTGCTGGTGCAGCAAGGAGAGGAGGCAGAGCAGTGGCACCAAGACCCGGAGGAGGAGGGGGTGCTGCCTGGCAGGAGATCCTCAGAAGCAGCCCGGGCACCCTACCCTTTTGCCAACAATACTGTCAAAGCCTTGGAGAAGAAGGCCTTTTCCCCAGGAAGACGGAGGTGTGATGCTGCCCAAGAAGTTGGACCAGGAAGCGGACCACCCTACCCTTCCGACTGCCCTGTGGCCTGGGTCTTTGGGCTCCTTCTGGGAAATCCCTCTGGACACCTCTAGGAGCCTTGGCCACAGATTGGCCTTGTGGAGGGGGCTGATATGGACACTGTGTCCGGCGAGCTGTGTACCATGCCCAAGGGTTCAGGGGGCTTGAGTTCCCTCCTCCCCTGGTGACCTGTGTTGTGATGGTGGTGACTGCTGCTGAGGGCCATGGGTGGCCAGGGTGGGGTGGGTGCTGACATTCAGTAGGGGCAGTGGTACCCAGTGGAGACTGTCTGATGGGCTGAGAGAAGCAGCCTGGCCAGACGGTGGGCCTGGGCAGCATCGGCAGCGTGACCTGCTGAGATGGTTCCCTGTGCAGAGTGCGTGACATCCACGCTGGGGGCTTGCACTCAGGCTGGACCACGAGTTGTGAGCTGGGAGCAAGGGGCTGAGGCAGAATCGTCGGTGGAGAAGGGCCCCGCGGTCATCCCTCCAACGTCCTGGCTTCCTTCTGGGAAGGCTCCCTCTGGGTACCTGGCCAGAGGTCCTAGAAGCAGAAGAGGGGCGGTGGATGATTCAAGGCAGCTGAAGGGGCCATCGCCCTCAGCCGCTGAAGAACAAAACCTGATATGAGGCTGGAGGTTCTCCACGTCAAAGGAGAATGGATGGTGACGCTGGGAGGAAGTGCCTGGGGACAGCCACCCAGGGTCAGTGGTGGGTTAGACCTCACCTTCAAATACATCCTTGGCTCTTTCCCCAGCCACTCCCTCAGCGTCTCAGCACAGGGTCCCCATGAGGAAGAACTGGACAAGTCCCCCTGAGCAGTGCAATGGCCCTGCCCGGCGCCCACTCTCTGACCTTCTTGGATGGGGTCAGGAGTGTATGCCTCCACACTCTCTCCTGCCCATCCCCCACCCGTCCGCTCTCACCTCCACCCATGCATGGTCCTTGCGCCTGCACAGCCCCTAGCCAAGCAGCCCTCCACAAGGTGCCGCCCATCCACTTACCCACCTATCCTGTCCATCCTCACGGGGCTCTTCCCTCCAACCTTCCACCCACCCGTCCTCAGCCAGTCTCCCCAGTCATCCGTCCATCCATCCGTACACCCCACTTCCATCTACACCCACCTACCTCATCCGTCCACCGTCCATCCACCCACGCACCTGCATTGCCTAGGCACAGCCCCTAACTTCCTTCCCTCCATTCATCTGTGTCCGTCCTGCCGTCCACCCTCCGTCATCCAGCCAGCCAGTGGGGCCACTCCCCTGCTCCTGAAGGAGGCCGAGAGCAGGGACCCAACTCTTGGCTTGTCTGCTGCACGGGGCAGGCGCCGGGCTCTCCTAGGTGTGCGCGCGTGTGTGCATTTATCCGCCCCCCCCTTATCTCGCTCCCCTCCCCCCGCGCCCCCGCCCCCCGCTCGCGCTCCCCCTCTAATGTGTGATCTGGAAGCTCTATAAAGCCTGATGTAATCCGTAATGCAGTCTCTGGCTCCCGATTCGGGATCCAGTTTCAGAGAGCGAGAGATTGGGGAGCGCCGGCAGCCGGGTGGGGGGAAGCAGCTCTCGCCTCTCTCCTCCTCCTTCTCCTCGTCCTCGGCCTCCTCCTCCTCCTCCCCGCGCCGCCCCGCCCCCGGCTCGCTCGGCTCGCCCCCCCCTCAGGAAGGGGAAAAAAGGCGAGAAGAGCCGGGCAGGCGAGAGGAGCGGAGCGGCGGCGGCGGCGGCCGGAGAGGGAGCGGCGGCGGCGGGCGCGGCGTTGGCGGCGGCCCCGGCGGAGCGAGCGCGGAGCCGGTGAGCCCGGAGCACAGGCGGCCGCGCCGCGTCCTGGCCCGGCCAGGGCCCGCGCGCCCAGCGTCGTCCGCAGCGTCGACATCCGGACCCTCCGGGCGCCCGGGGGGCTCCTGCAGCGGGAAGGAAGGGGAGGCGGCCTGTGTGCGCCGGCGGGTGCGCTCCAGGGGGCGTCCCGGCGAGGCCCGAAGCCGGCCGGGGGCGGCGGCGGCTGGAGGAGCCCCCCCTCCGGTCGGGCGCCCGGCTCGGCCGCGGGCTACGCGAGGCGCTCGCGGGGATTTGCAACTCGCCGGATCGAGTCCTCGCCGGCGGGGCCGCTGCTGCTGGGGAAGGTAAGGAAGGCTCCGGCGGGGGCTGGGGGCGCGGCGGGTGGGGGCGCAGCGAGGGTGGAAGGGGGCCGGGGGAGGGGCGGGCGCCCCGACTTCCTAACTTCGCCGTCTGGGGCTTCGCAGCTCCGAGGTTCTGCGCTCAGAGCTCGGGAGTTTAGACCCCCACCCCCGACCCGCTCAGCCCCTGCCTCCTCCAGCCGCGGGGATGGGATGTGGCAGGTCCCCGCGCGCCCGCATTGGGCAGGCTGAGGAGGGGGCGACCCTGGACGCAGGAGAGGCTCCTCGGCGCTGCTCGCCTCCTCCCCATCCACACAACACGGCCTGGCACCCCTTCTCATCACATGCATAGGGCAGGCTGGGGAGGGCGTTCCCGCCGTACCCCCGCATACACAGACGCTGGCGGGGGTCTAAGGGAGCCCCCGTGGCCCCCAACAGCCACACATAGACCCAGCAAGCTCGGGAGAGCCCCCCGAGCGTGTCCCTCTCTTACTAATCACGTCCAGAGCCCCCTACAGACATTGTAGGGGCCCCAGACGTCCTCCCCCCACGCACAGAGCCCCTGGCAGGCAGGAGAAACCCCCAGACTCCTTCTGGAAGCCCTCGCGGGAGAAGCCCTCGCCGGGAGACCTGACACTGTTGGTGGAGACTCCCGGAGGTTCTCTCTCCCCCACTTCGGGCGGAGGGCTATTTTTGCGCCCCCCACCCCCACGCGAACGCCCTCGCTCTTCCCTCCGTGTCTACCTTTCCACTGGGTCGGACAGGCCGCGCGGATAAGCCGCTCTGAACTTTGGGCCGGCCCTTTGCCCTCTCCGCTCCCAGCGCCGATCACTCCCGGGCGCCGAGCACTCCCGGGTCCGCGTCCCCGGTGAGCAGAGGCCGCCCGCTCTCCGCCGTAGCCGCGCTAGCTAGGAGCCGCGCACAGCTGCCTCGAGGAACCAGCACGGCCCCCGCCCCCTCCTGGGGAGGCCGGGGAGCTCTGGACCCGGCCAGGAGCCCTCTCCCCAGGTCCCCGCGGCCCCCTGGGCAGGGTAGAGAGCGTCTCCGGCTTCGGGAGGGGGCGGCGGAGCTGAGAATCGCAGCGAAGTGATGCGGCCGGGAGGGCTTGTCGGAGGCTGCGGCTCCGAGCCCGGGTCCCTCCTCCTGGCCGCGGCGGCTCCGGCTTGGCCACTCCCCGGCAGCCTGGAGAGAGCGCCTAGCCTGGCACCCCAGCCCCAGGCCGCTGGGCACCTTACCCCTTTCCACTTTTATTTTGGGCTTCTAAGTTTCTTGGAGCGCAGGCACCCAGGCTGGGGCTAGAAGAGCCCTAAACCAGCCCTCATTCAGCACCCGTTTTTACCCGCCGCGACCTCCCCATTCTTCCTCCGGGTCTGGGGCGCAGATTACCGGCCGCTACTCCGGAATAGTTGAAAGGCAGGAAGGCGTGTGGGTGGGGAGGGGGCCTGCATTCCCGCCCCAGGGGACCGCTTGGCCTTTGTGTTTCGAGGGGCTGGGAGGTCGGCTCTCCAGCTCCACCGTGGGAACCCAAGGAGACCCACAGCGCTCTCCCCCCTCCCCAGACACAAACACACGCCCCCTCGGAGCGAGAGCCGCGGCGGTGAACAGCAGAGGCCGCGCGGGCGGAGGCGGGGGAACCGCGAGCTGGGTCCCGGTTCTGGGAGGGAGGTGGTGTACGGTGTGCGGGGTCCGGGGAGGCGGCTATCGCGTCTCCTAGAGCCCTCATGCCTTCCATTTCTCTGCGACCCTGGCTGCCGAGGAGGCAACGAGGGAGGTCGAGCCGCTGACTCCCGTGGGCGGCAGCGAAACTCCGCGCCCGCACGCCGGGGTGCCGCCGGGTCCGGCTTTGAGTACCCAGCAAGGTCAAGCAGGCGAAGCAGGGGACGGGGGTTCCTAGGCGCGCCCCCGTCCGCGCACGGTCGGGGCCTTGGAAGGGGGTGTGGGCAGCCCGCCGAGTCAGTCCCGCGCGCCCGCCGCCTGCGCCCGGTCCCCGGAGGCGGACGTTGCGAGTGTTCGGGGATCCCGGAGCGCCCGGCGCCCCACGCCCTCCCTCTCGGCTCGCTAGCAGCTCCGCGGCGCTGCTTTCAGACTTGTTGCGCCTGGATCTGGGGGCAGAAGGCTGGCCCGGGAGCCCGGGCGGCTGGGGTCCGGCCCCGAAGGCCAGGGATGCGCCAGAGAGGCGCGCGGCTCCGCGGGCGAGCGCTGCGCTGGGGGATCCAGCCGGGAGTTTGCCGCCTCCTATCCCAGGGAAGGGCGCTCGATCCTGCTGGGGTCCCGCGCGGGGGCGGAGAGGGGGCGATCCGTCGCCTCGGCGCCAGGCACGCTTCTCCGGATCCTGGGCTAAGGAGGGGGCGCAGCCAAGTTGTGGCGCCCTGCAAGGCCTTTCCCTTGCCCACAGGCTCCGGCCCCTCTCGGACCTCGGCGGCCGCGTCCGTGAAATGGGGGCGCGGGCTCTACTCTCGGATCCCTTCCAGCCCCGACCCTCCGCTCTCGTCCCGAGATCCGGCGTGCCGGGTCCGCAGCGTGCTGGATCTGCGGCGTCCGGGCGGCCCGGGTCCCGAACCTTCCGCGCCTGCGGACACAGCCGCGGGGCCCGGCGGGAAGGACACGGGCAGGGCCGAGCGAGCGCCCGGGGTCCGGGCAGCCTCCTGCCGCACCCTCCGCCCCTGGCCGGCCCGGCTCCGCGTCCGGGAGTGGGTCGTGGGGCCCGGAGCCCGTCCTCCCGGGGCGCCGCGGGGCTCCAGGCCCAGGAGGCCGGCGCGGGGCCGCAGTGGCGGAGGGCGGAGGGCCGGCGCGCTGCCGCTGGCTACCGGGAGAGGGCGCCCGCACCGCGCCCGCGCGGCCCTGCCCGCCCCTTCCGTCTCCTCCGCGCCCGGCCCGCGGCTCCGGCCCCATCTTGGGCCGCCCCGGCCGCCCCCGCCCGCCTGCCCGCGCGCCGCCCGCTCCCGCCGCCGGGTCCCGTGACGCGCCTCGAGTCTCGTCCTGAGCCCCCCTCGCTGGCCCGGCCCGTCCCCGCGCGCGGTGCGCTGGCGCGAGCGCGCGTGTGCGCGCATGTTCCCTGTGCGCCGCGCATGCACGTGCGCGCCCGTCCCGGAGGCTGGGGCACGTGTGTGCAGGCATGCAGATCGCACATGTGTGTGCGTGGCCCCGGGTGGCAGGATTCCCTCAAACTCCGTATTACCGTCGGCTCTGGCTCGGGGCTGCCCCCGGGTCCGCGCTGTGTGCCAGGGATGGACCCCTGGGAGGAAAGCTCCCACACCCGACTCCCAGCAAAGACCCCGAACCTGGCGGGTATTGTGACCCCTCCGGGCCCGCCAGCCCACGCCCTCCCTTTGTCCTCTGGAAGCCTCTGGCCTCCCTGGCTGCAGCTGCGCCATCGGCAGAGCTGTGACTTCTGGGTAAACACGCACAGGCCCGGGATCCCCCCGTGACAGCCCAAGTGCACACAGGAAGTGGCGCTCACTAGACAGCCCACGTGCACACCCTCGCACTGGGAGCAGGACAGTGGGCAAGGGAGAGGGCGTGGTCCCGGGCAATCCCCTCCCAAGTGTTAAGGCGGGAACATGCAGGAAAGAACCCCCGACAAGCTCTGCCAGGGAGGCCCTGGGGAGTGCAAGAAGGCAGCCTGCAGATGCCCAGGAAGGGGGCTCACCCAGGAGGCGCCCCAGGGAACGGCAGGTGGGTGGGTGATGAAGGGGTCAGAGGTCTAGGCAGAAGGAAGTGCCGGCTGTGCAAAGGCCCTGGGTCAGGGCATTGTGCAGGTGTGAGAGGAGGGTGGAGGCAGGACAGGGGCCAAACAGATCTGTTTGGGGATGCCAAACAGATGAGGTGCCCTTGTGGGCCACAGGTCACAGGCCTTCAGGAGGCTGAGTGTACAGCCTGCTGAGTGCCGCTGCCATGCCCACCGCTGCATTGCACAAGACGCACACCACATCCATCACAGCGGGTGGCAGCCAGCCCCGACACCACCCAAGACCAGCACACACCCCACTGTGAGGCACAGGCAGACACCCAGAGCTGACACGCGTGTCCCCACAAAGGCAAGAAACATGGAACGCTGGAGTACCACCACCTGAAACCTGTGCCCAGCTGAGGGCTCACGAGGACGCGGGTCAGCACAAGCACACCATGGTGCACGCGGCACCTGTCCACATGTGCAGAGGGGAAGGAGGGGCGGCTGAGACCTACAGGCTGCATGATCCGGGGGACACAGCCCGGATGTTCATGTCCAGGGATGGGCAGGAGGCCCCCCGCAGACAGGGACTGGCAGGAGGACCCAGGGGGTGCTGGCTCTGCATTCCGCTCTGTGACCTTCATCAGGCCCCAGCCTCCTTCCTCATCTGTGCTCCGCGGGTTTAAGGCGAGGATCTCCCGTGCTCTGCAGACAGAGCACACGCCGCTGAGGGGGGGCTCTGGACATCTCCACTCCTGCCCCACTCTCCCTCTCTCTTCTTTTTCCTTATTAACTCATATCTCTTAATTGCAGAAGCAACAAAAATTAGGATCAGTGCCAAAGGACTAGCCTCCTTCCTCCACAGAGCCCTGGCCCCTCGCCTCCTGCACCCTGGTACTGGCTCTGTTGTCCAGGGCTGCCCTGCCTGGATGGACCCGTGGGGACCTCTGCCCCTCCTCCCTCTTCCTTGCAGGGCTTTCACAAACATGCACATACCCAGCCCTCCTGCGCCTAGTCTGCTCATGGCCAGCCGCAGCTCCCTCACTTTGACAGCAGCACCCCGACTGCCCCCTACCATCTCACCGCACCCCGTCACCCCCACCACCATTGCCTCCCAGGCCCCCCAGCTGCACCCTGCCACCAGCACTGCACTGCCCATCGCTCATGTCTGACCCCCCCTCCATACACCCTCCCCTGTCACCCCACCCTCCTCAGCAGCACCTCGGCACCCCTCACAGCCACCTCCCTCAGCACGATCACTGTCACCTCGGCCCCCACCTTAGGCTCCTGAGTCCTTCACTGGCCCCCACGGTGGTCCTCCTGCTCCTGGAGTTCT